GGGCTAACACGGCTAAACCCTGGGCCGCCCACCCTGAGCCATGGTTCTGCTCGAGGTTTCTGCCTGTTAAAGGAAGTTATTCCTTGCGTGTGTCGCCTAGTGCTTGCTCATGGTGGGAATAGTTGGGTTTCTGTAATTAACTTCAGAGTAGGTCTGAGCTGCTCTGTTTGGAAAGCTGGGAGACAACTGTTGTTGTGATGTGGAGCTATATAAATAACATTGAATTAAAATTGAATTGGGGCTTCTGGGGCCTCTGGGGCCTTTTACTGCCCCTGTGTTCCTGCTCTGCAACTACTCTGCATAGTGTTATTTCTGTCATAACTTCTACCATAATCATTAGTATTAATATCAATGCCATTTTTCATCTAGTCTATGTGTTACTATAGGCTGCCTCTCTCTTGCTTCTCTTTCCCTCACTCCCCACCCTGTGCCATGGTTCTGCTCCAGGTTTCTGCCTGTTAAAAGGAAGTTATTCCTTGCCTGTGTCGCCTAGTGCTTGCTCATGGTGGGAATTGTTGGGTTTCTGTAATTAACTTCAGAGTAGGGTCTGACCTGCTCTGTTTGGAAAGCCGTGAGAGAACTGTTGTTGGGATTTGAAGCTATAGAAATAAAATTTTGATTTAATCTAATTGAATATCAGAGGCAACTAACCAATAGGACTTGGTTATAGATCTCAGGGCTCTTTGCCCACTGAGACCCAGAGAGAGTTTTTTGTCTGTCAGAGCCCAGCTGATACACTAAACTGTGTCCAATAAATGTCATTTTTTATACTTTTAATCCACTCTGGTTTATTCTCAGGTTTCCAACTAAAGAATCGGGCTAACAAGTGGTGCCGTGACCCGGATTGGAAAACTCCGAGTCTGCGTCCGATTGAGGACCACTGGAGTCCATCAGAGGAGACTCCTTTTCAGACAATTGAAGGCTTTCAAATCAAAAGGTAAGCAGAATACCTTTTCTATATGAAAATTCTGCATATTGGACATTCCAAAACAAATTGTCTGAATAAGATCTCTTTGTGGTGGGTAAAAATAACATGGTTTAAGGATAAATTGTGAAAACTGTCCTGACTTTATTGACATGGTCACATGTAAAGTATAAAATATTATATATATATA